TTCTGAGACACACAGTGTTTGAGAATCCCTGCCTTAGTTCCATCTACCTGGACTGCCACCCTCCTTTCTTGCTTGCCAGTATCTTATAAGACTGTGCCTCCCCTGCCGAGTCGCACTTTCTTCTGTGTCCGTCAGTACTTCATCACATCTCTTTTATAGCATAGACGACGAGAGCATCTGCATGCAGCACCTGCCTTGGGGATGAGTTGTTAAGTGCCAGTGAGTAAATGCATGTATGCATGAATGAAGGAGAAGAGCGTGTTAGGAGGAGTGGTGATCAATAAGGTCAGCTGCTATGGCAAGATCATGGAGAATAATGAAGGGAAAAGCGATCGGATTTTGTAGGAAGGCAGGTGTTGGTGACCTTTGAAATGCTTGCTTCAGCAGAGTGATGGGCAGGAAGCCCAGACTGCTGGCAGTTAGGGACTTCCAGCATGATGAAGACTTGCAGGTTACTAGAGTTGCTTATTGACTGTTTATCTGAACATGCAGTAGCAATAGAATTTCTGGGGAGAAATAACTAAGTGACCTTAGGCCAGTTACTGACCCTCACAGAACTTGTAGGCAGTAATGTCTTGTGTTCTTAATCTTTTTAAACAAGATCATTGTGACCTTAGAATGATGCCTGCCTGACATTTAGTTAGTACTTAAATGGTCATTTCCTTTACTCCTCCCCCCATACAACAATTATTTTTATTTATTAATGTTGTTGATGGTGTCCTTCACCCTTGGCAAATTTGTGTAAGATATAAAATTGTTAGGGATACCTTCATGCCAGTCACTGGAGATATTGTGAATTGCATTTGGCCTGGAACTAACATACCTTTAGTTGAACTGCTGACAGCTTATTTGAAATACATGTTATCTAGCTGAGAGAATACCCCCAAAAGGTAGTTGTCTTAGTTAAGGCTCTTAGATGCAAATTACAGAATCCTACTTCCAGCAGACATAGGAAGAGAGAAAGGGAGAGAGATTTTGTTGGCTCCTGTAACTGAAACATAACTCTGTCTTCTGCAACTGTATCTTCTGGCTCAAACAGTGTTGTCAGTCTTTAGTCTTTCTCCAGCCATTCTGCAGCCCACCTGTCCTCCACGTGACTCTCATTCCCAAGCATATTTGACAACTACCGATTTCAAGGAAGGAGAACTCCCCACAGTTCTAACTGAAACCCTGGATTCAATATCGCTCTTCAGACTTAGGTCACTTGCCCTTTCTTAAACTGGTTTTTGTGGCCAAGGAACTGGGAGTTCACTGGTTTTCCAGGCCTGGCTTATTCCATTCTATGAAATAAATGGTACTGAGTGTACGAGAAGAGGGGCTCCCTGAAGGGAAATGTGGTTTCCGTACCCAGAATGAAAGGGAAGGACAGCAGGAGGAACAATTGATATCATCTCATTGTATAGAAAAGTGCTTTTCAAACTGTACTTCTGAGAACTCTAGGGGTCCCACTGAGATCCTTAAATAGGAAGGGAAGAGATAGTAACTCATAGTGGGAAGTTGTCAAATTCATGGCCACTCAAGCTTTACCAAGAGTAGCTTCACTTTCATATATTTTTATGTCCAATTTCCGGTAAAGATTTCATTTGAAAAAGGAATTTTGGCAAAACAGTTGGTATAGGGCAGTCTTAACAGAGGGTTGGCCCATAGCTCATAAAGGTAGGAGACCATCTTTTCCCACTCCATCCTGCTGAACAAGTTCTTGCCCTGCTTCTCCTTGATTCCTATTGGCTCAAATTTCTAACCTGCCTGATTTCCAGTCTTGAGTCCACCACAATCAGACATAGGAAGAGCATAACCTCAGGCAGAGTCCAGTTCTCAGTTTACTGTTACTATGACAATTTTAAAAAATCATCCCTTAGCCCTTTGCTGACCAAGGAGACATCCCCCTAAAGCTGTTGACAACTTGGTGACTCAATACCATCCACCAGTTATAAAGCAGAAAGTTTTGATTTCATTCAAGACATTTGAGCATAATCTTTGATGATGTGTTTATGCTGAAATTTGTACTTGACATCAGCAAGCTGGGCAGTTTAATTTTTCCAGCCTTCCTCTATGGCTCATCTCCTTGATAACTGCTGCTTAAATCACACACTAGGAGCTTTTTCCTTATCTAATATTGACTTTTTTAACTGTTTGGCCCACCCTTTTATTTTTCAATTAGAACCCAAAATGTAAGCCAGGCACTTATTTGTGTAAATAAAATTATATTGGAACACAGACATGCCCATTAGTTTAAGTTTGCTTTTCTCTCTATAATAGCATAGGTGAGTAGTTGTGAAACTGGAGGCAAGGCCCATAAACCTAAAATATTTACAGCCTAGCCCTTTACACAAAAACTTCTTGACCTCTACTGTCTAGTTATGTGGCTTACAACAGAATTCCTACTTCTGAGCATGTGGCATGCTAAACAATCAGTAATGTCCTTTTATTTTCTTAAAAAATATTCATCAGGTTATTTATGACTGCATGGTCTTAGTTGTAGCATACAGGCTCAGTAGTTGCAGCACATGGGTTTAATCGCCCCACGGCATGCAGGATCTTAGTTTCCTAAGACCACAGATGGAATCTACATCCCCTGTGTTGGAAGACAGATCCTTAACCACTGAACCACCAGGGAAGTCCCCAGTAATGTCCTTTGAATACTCTTACTCTCTGATGGTCTCATAAGTGTATCTAGGGAAACACTTCTGCCTTATCTGTTCTACCTGTGCTTTTTCAATTCTTTGAACAACTTCTCTTTGTACCCTCAACAGTTTAGTCCTCTTCATCCTCTAACACTGCCAGCACTTTTTAAGGCGTGGGAAGAGAGAGGGGTGAAACTTTACACCTGGCCCTAGAACACACTGGTACACACCCCTACATATATTCAGTGTGTAGATAACAAGGCGCCAGTCACATGGACAGAAATCAGGTCTGGTTTCCCTTTATGCCCCCTCTACCCGACCCTCCCGGATTTCATACTTGCTGTGGTCACAGCAGTGTATTTTGTGAAGGGTCTGATACGAGGAGTTTGATAAAGGGGAAGGGAGGAGGAGCAGAGTCCACCCCAGCTGGATGCTGGATTCTGTAAGCAGAGCAGCCGCCGTTCAGAAGATGAGTGGTTAAGCTGTACTTGAAGAAGAGCAGGGGTGATAATGCCTCTTCCTGCCGCCTAAATGCCCTGTGGAGGGAGAGAAGACTTCAGTCCCTAGGCTTCTGAATCCCTTATCTTTCCCAAACGTTAAATTAATTTTTAAAGCTATTTATTCAAAGTTGACTTAACCACTAGAATAGGAAAGATCAGACAAATCAGCTGCAAGAAATGAAGTATGAGGAAACCCGAACTCTTTGACAAAGTATTCCTGGGAGTAAATGTGTTGAATGAAGCCAGCGGGTAAATGATAAGGGCCTTTACACTGTGGATGTAAGAAGGCAATTTATCAAGAGTACATGAACTCTCCAGTGACCACAAGTCAGGAGGAAACGAGAGTGGAGGAGGAGCCCTGAAAAAATACACTTGAAACACGGAAAATTGTGTGTGTGTGCGTGTCCTTTTAAATACTCATATTAATATGCAGAAATGCCGGTGTGTTAAAAGAGGAGCTGCTCAGCGTGTGCACCTATGGCAGCCTGCACTGCTCGGGGAGAAGCTACTGGGAAGAGTGATTGAGGCATTCAACCAGACAGTGGTTAGAACTTGCAGAAGCCTTGGGTGCTTGCAGGTAGAATTAGGTAGATTTGAGCCTGGCGGTTGTTGTCTGATGCCCACTTAGGTGAGCGTCTTTCAGGCTCGCGTGTTTCTCTCTTGAAATCTCTAGAAGGTCATATCTGTATAATTCTGGCAGCTGACCCAGTGCTTTTGCCTTCTCTTCGGTTCAAAGGACCTCTCATTCATTATCACAGTCATCTTTGCAGCATCTCTTTGAGCCCTGTGGATGGGACAGTGCTGTATCTTAATGGGTCACTCTAGAGAAACTGAGTTAAAATGTCATTTATCTGCAGTAGGGTTCTCAGTAACTCAGATAAGGATGGGGTTGAGAATGTACAGCCTTATCTGGGTTTCAGAGCTAGGGCAGAACTGTGGTTTCTCAAATTTGAGGCAAGGACGGCCTAATTATTGAAATATTCGTTCCATTGAACATATTTACTCTGAGAATGGTCATCCTCAGTTTTCTGTGCTGAGATGATGTAGCTGAAATACACAGAAATTCTCATACTTTGATTTTAGTCATTTTTTTCTGTTTTCATCTCATGCTAAACCCTTTATCACAGCTGTTAATAAAGTACCTACTTATGACTTGAATTTCTTATTTTGTTTGTTTGTTTCTTCTGAATAACTTAGAGAGCACTAAACTAACGGGCAAACAGCAAGAGGGGAATTTTGGAGAACTGAGTCTTGGAATAAGTCTTCTTAGCTAATTCAGTTTAAGGTACATGACCAGCCCCCGTCTGCCCCCCAGAGGTCAGCTTTCCTTATTCCCTCTGGATTAACCTCTTACCCCTAGAAGTCCACAGAGAACACCCTCCTCTTCCTCTTCAAGCCATCCAGGTATCTAAAGGGGTGAATCTCTACTCAGAAAAGTGATGCTGGTTGAATGTGCAGTTGGGGCCTGAGTTGGCAGTTGTGAATGTGTTCCTCCTTTTGCTGCAGGGACGGGGGACACCATGGTGACTTGGGTTGAGCCATAGTTCAATTAGCAAATTAATTGGGTTTTTAGTGCCAGCCACAGTCATTTAGAAGTCTCCGCGGTGGCTCTTCCTGCAAACCAAGTGTCTTTTGTGTTTGTTGTTGTCTGCAATTTATAAACACGTGGAATACAAAAACACAAACAAGTCAGGAGGAGGTGGGAAGAGCAGTATGTACATTACACCGTCCTGTCTCGCTTATCATCCAGGTGTAGAAATGGAGACCCAGCCCCCCATAACTTCCAGTAACTGGCTTCTCCTTTCTTTTATCTCCGCCCTCTCCTTTTTCTGTCTGCCTTCCCGCTGCCCCTGGACCTCCGGCGGGACCACCACAGCCTTGGACAAGCTCAGCACGCAGCACCTGTACCACCCCACGCAGGTGGAGATCGTGCAGTCCAACGTGGTGTTCGACATCAGCAGTCTGATGCTCTACGGCACGCAGGCAGTGCCCGTGCGGCTCAAGATCCTGCTGGACCGTCTGTTCAGCGTCCTGAAGCAAGAGGAGGTGCTCCACATCCTGCATGGCCTGGGCTGGACGCTGCGCGACTATGTCCGGGGGTACATCCTTCAGGTAGGGGGAGGTGTGCAGTTGGGGCCTGAGTTGGCAGTTGTGAATGTGTTCCTCCTTTTGCTGCAGGGACGGGGGACACCATGGTGACTTGGGTTGAGCCATAGTTCAATTAGCAAATTAATTGGGTTTTTAGTGCCAGCCACAGTCATTTAGAAGTCTCCGCGGTGGCTCTTCCTGCAAACCAAGTGTCTTTTGTGTTTGTTGTTGTCTGCAATTTATAAACACGTGGAATACAAAAACACAAACAAGTCAGGAGGAGGTGGGAAGAGCAGTATGTACATTACACCGTCCTGTCTTGCTTATCATCCAGGTGTAGAAATGGAGACCCAGCCCCCCATAACTTCCAGTAACTGGCTTCTCCTTTCTTTTATCTCCGCCCTCTCCTTTTTCTGTCTGCCTTCCCGCTGCCCCTGGACCTCCGGCGGGACCACCACAGCCTTGGACAAGCTCAGCACGCAGCACCTGTACCACCCCACGCAGGTGGAGATCGTGCAGTCCAACGTGGTGTTCGACATCAGCAGTCTGATGCTCTACGGCACGCAGGCAGTGCCCGTGCGGCTCAAGATCCTGCTGGACCGTCTGTTCAGCGTCCTGAAGCAAGAGGAGGTGCTCCACATCCTGCATGGCCTGGGCTGGACGCTGCGCGACTATGTCCGGGGGTACATCCTTCAGGTAGGGGGAGGTGCCGGGGCGGTGTCTGGGGCCAGCTGGAGGAGGGCTGGGGTAGGAGCCCTGGGCCAGTCCTGCCCTCCCTCCCACCCCCTGCAGGCCCAGGCATGCATGCCCCATTCTGGTTAACGTGGTCCTTCTGGCGGGCTGGGCAGGGGATTGGAAAGCAGGAACTGTGTGCCAGCCGGCCGGCACCCAGGCTCCGTGGTGAACGTTAGAAGGGAGATGGTGGCCTGTTGCTTAGGGTTGCTCTGTTTGCATTCTTCTGAATTCAGCTCCCTCTCCCTACAACATGGGCCTCCCAGCTTCCCTGAGTCTTCTGGAAGCCTCCTCTGAAAGGGAGGGCTCAGAGGTGGGTGATGGGTGTGCAGCAGTCTGAGACTGCTCTCCATCTGGGTTTAGCCGAGTTCGTTCTCACACTTAACCTGGTAGGTTTGGCACTTCCCTGGTGGTCTCTGCACCCTAACCATTTATTGCTTCTTCATCCCAATCAGAGGAAAAACTGTGTAACCTCTGTAATAAACTCCCTGCTTTTGTAACCAGTAGACCCTTGCATTCCAAAACCTGCAGACCTGGTTATAGACTTGGCCTTCACAGCAGCTGTTCCTCCAGCTTCAGCCCCTTCTTTGTGTCAAGGGCATCTCGGGTCTGGTGAGGGACTTTTCTGAAGGCCGGCAGCCTCCACTCCCCGTAACCCTAGGCTCCTCGCCTTTTCTTTTTTATTTTTATTTTTTTTGCCGTATCTCCTAAGTCGTTACGCATTGTGTACTTTGCCTCTGAAATGTTTTTATGGCCATCTGTCTTCCTACGACCCTTGAAGGGTAAATGTTGAAAGCGACATGTTGGGAGACCCCAGGATCCAAAAAGACCACACTGGACGATGAAGAGATACTCCCTCTTGCCAAAGGAGATCGCAGTTGGAGAAGGTAGAATCTGAAGCAATGTTTTGAAATTTCTCATGGGGAATAATACCAGGAGAACTGACCCTTTCAAAAAAAAACAAAAAATGGTTTTGGCTCTGCCAGCCTTGTTGATTCCCCAAACCAGCCTGTGATGTGTGTAAGGCTGCCAGCTTGGTGTGTAATGAGTGAGGGTTGAGGGGGATCGAATTTCGCCCTTGCTTTAACCTGGCATGAACACACACACATTCCTATTGTTCTCCTGTGTGGTACCACCAGGTGTTAGCCAGGGCAAGTGAGCAGACCAGGGTCCTGCGTGGAAGTAAAGAAAGAGGGAAGGTAGGAGAAGGTAGTCTCACCTGTCTGCTCCAATGACTGCTTAGTTAGCGTAGACTCATTTTGTAGTGAGATGTCAACTTGGAAGGCATGGGGAATTTGGCCCTCAGAAGATGAGATGATGCTGATAATAGGAATAATTATATATTACGTTTTCAGTTTATAGAAGACTTTCACAAGCATTATCTCATATGCCTCGGGATGGGGACATTTCACTGGGGTGAGTGGAGAGTTAAGTCTTGGGTGGTCAGGGGGGCCGGAGGGGGCCCAGGGTCCAGGAGGAAGAGGCTAGAAAGACAAGTGTGGAAGCAGTTTCACAGTCCCTGCTCCTGCCAGCCTAGAGATGCACACAGTGCCTTGTCTTTCTCTAGTGGTTTCCACATAGGATTGTTAATGTCCGTTTGGGATGGATTTTACCCTACAGGAAGGAACAAACCTCTTGCAGCATTTTGAATGGAACTGTCAGCGGCTAAGCACTCTCCTTTATTAAAAAATTGCAGTAATATTCCCCAACCTGGTCCCATTTTACTGCCTCCACTGTGATGCTTAGTTCTGTCACCAATGCTTTACTTTTGTTCTCCGTGTCTGTTTTTGCCTAAGTTATCTGGACCATACGTATGGCCTCTTTGTGGAAGCACGTAGATACGTGCATGACTGTGATGATTCGCCATCATGACAACCCAGTGTACCGTGGCATTTTGATGGCCATGAATACAGAGTCTGCTAGTTGTTCTGGGTGTAATCCTATTGTTCTGCCTTGAACAGTGCCTGTTCTGTGTTTTATTTGAAATTACTACTTAGGTGTTTATTTTTTTTCAGTATTTCAGCGTAACTCTAGGGCAGGCATAGAAAACATACTCCACATTTTGTTCTGTATGAAGGCCTCAGATTTAAAAATATGAATTACAAGAGAAATGAAATTTCAGAGGAAAATTCAACAAAGCCATTAACTAATATTTATAGTCTCTAATTTGGGGGTGAAGTACTACATAGAAGAAACACTTTCAATTATTGTGATTCTTAAATTATAGGTAATTTTCATTAATTTCATGGCAATTTTGACAAAGTCTCAAATTTAATATAATCTTTTTTCTCAGAGTCTAAAATTGACATTTTGAGAAAATTGCAGATGATTTTTACATTAGAGGAACACTATGTTTAGTTTCTGTCTTGTTTTATTGGTAGGATTGATGTAATATGAATTTTATTTAAATGATGCTTTTTGTTATTCAGCATTTGTCATCTACTTGTTTCTTGTGTAAACAATTCTCAGTTTAAGAAAAAAGCCAGAAGTTGAAGCATATAATGCTGTTACTTATGTAGTGAGACAATGATCATTTCATTTAAAAAAAAACATAGGCTATTTAGAAATACACCTTTTTTTTCTCTCAAGCCATGTTGTTTGATTATTGGCCAGTATTTTTAAAATTATATATAGTAATGATAAGGTATGTTCAGAAGACTTTGAATATAATTACATGTAACATATTTGAGCAGGTAGACTATAAAATGTGCATCCAAAGGTTGTGGAAACCTATAATGCACTATTAGTGTACAAGTCATTTTATCTGGCTAAAACTCAATTGTCTTGTAGCCCTCAAGGCATCAATTTTAGCATTATTGCTCTCAACAACAGTATATTGAATATTATGTCAGTTAAAGGAGAATAATTATCAAGGCAAGTTTAGGGTGGCTGTTAGTCTTACCACATATTGACTTGGTTAGCAGTTGGCTATAGATTGTGTTACTGGGCAAATGAAGATGTACTGTAAGTTGAACTGGTAAAGCCAGGATATTAATTTAACTCTCTCTGGGTCCAAACCTACATCCCTCATGTATAAACACAGCCACTTCTGGTTTCAGAAATACTTTTGAATGGGGAAAAAGTATCTACAGCAGTATCTGATCTGATTTTGAATTTTTGGATGTGGGGGAAAGAGGGGGCTGGCTGTTCGAAACTGTCCTTTGCAAGCATGTTTGAAGAGGTTATTAAAAGAGAAAGGGAGATGATAGTAGTGCCACAGATTTATTTAAAAGACTGGCAATTTTTTTAAGAATCCTGTACTGTTTCTATAAAATTGCTTTTCACTTATACCATTATCTGTGTGATTCATAAGCTAACCAGCGGGCTGTAAACTACAGAGCATGATGTGAATTTCAGTGAGTTAAGAATCCAGATAGTATCTTAAAGGTGAAGAACCCAGTATTCTCCAGTATACCAATTAAAGTGTTCATTCAGAAAGTACCAGAAAAGTGAAGCAAATTTTAGGCATTTTCCCACACAACAGAAAAAGGAAGAAATAGGCAATCTGATCCTAAAAAAGCAACATGAGATTTTTTTTTTTTTCTGCTGCTGAAGAGTCATTCTTATTTCAAGTCTATATCTCATGGTACATCTATTGACAAAGGCTAAAAGCAGTATCCTGTTCTTTCCCCATTTTCCCTGACTATGACCCAGGAAGTGAGAATGTGGGTGTTTATCACTGTTGAATTTAATCATTTAAAAATCAAGTGTTCACACAGTCTCTTTGGCAGTTTGAACGTGTAACTGACTTGCCTGGGCTCATACGCCAGCCCATGTGTGGAAATCTCCTCCTTTGCAAAATGAGTCCTGCCAGGATTCAGGGAGCCATATCAGACACTCCAAGTAATTAGCTGAGGTGTCAGCAGCCTGGTGAGAGAACGAGCAGTGATGCCCATTTCAAATCACCTGTGTCTTGAAACAATCAGAACTAATAGAACAATCAACCCTCTAGGAGAACATTTCCTCAAATATCTGGGCCCAATGATCTTGGAGGTCCAACTTAAGCCTTGGGAGGAACTCCACTCTGGAACCTTTCCTTAGAGTCTTGTGATAGTTCAGTTCAGTTCAGTNCATGAACTGCAGTGCGCCAGGCCTCCCTGTCAATCACCAATTCCTGGAGTTTATTCAAATTCATGCCCATTGAGTCGGTGATGCCATCCAACCATCTCATCCTGTGTCGTCTCCTTCTCCTCCCACCTTCAATCTTTCCCAACATCAGGGTTTTTTCAAATGAGTCAGTTCTTTGTATCAGGTGGCCAAAGTATTGGAGTTTCAGCTTCAGCTCAGTTTTTCACAATGAATATTCAGGCCTGATCTCCTTTAGGATGAACTGGCTGAATCTCCTTGAAGTCCAAGGGACTCTCAAGAGTATTCTCCAACACCATGGTTCAAACGTATCAATACTTCAGTGCTCAGCTTTCTTTATAGTCTGACTCTCACATCCATACATGACTACTGGAAAAAACCATAGCTTTGACTACACAGACCTTTGTTGGCAAAGTAATGTCTCTGCTTTTTAATATGATATCTAGGTTGGCCATAACTTTTCTTCCAAGGAGCAAGCGTCTTTTAATTTCATGGCTGCAGTCACCATCTGCAGTGATTTTGGAGCCCAAAAAAGTAAAGTCTGTCACTGTTTGCACTGTTTCCCCATCTATTTGCCATGAAGTGATGTGACCAGATGTCATGATCTTAGTTTTCTGAATGTTGAATTTTAAGCCAACTTTTTCACTCTTCTCTTTAACTTTCATCAAGAGGCTCTTTAGTCCTTCTACTCTTTCTGCCATAATATACTGCCACGATATACTGGGATATATTTATGTTAGGTCTTGTTCCTCAACATATTCATGTTATCAGTTATCCTTCAATATACATTTTTTCTTCATCTTTGATAATAGAATTTTCAACAGACACCAGTTGCCCAAGATGCAAACTCTATTTCTCAGTGCTTATTGCTAGATGTGGCCATACAGCTAAGTTCTAGAACATGAAATATTAGAAACAAAGAAATGTGCTCTTTCTGGGTCCTGCCTTTACCAAGAAGTGTGGTCATCCCGGTACACTTCCCTCTTCTTACTAATCTGGATATGGATAAATGCTCAAGGTGGTAGACCAGTTGGATAAGAGGGTCTAAGGTTCAGAAAACATACCATTCCAAAATTACTTATACCCAATTATTATATATGTGTGAGAGAAAGATGTTGGTCAAGCCACTTTTACGCTGATTTTCTGTGAAAACAGATCAATAGCATAAAAGATACTTTTGTTGCCTGTTGGAATGTGAGGTTTTTGTTCAAATGGGAAAATTGGATGTCAAAGTTCAAATCATTTTTATATTACCTTTTGTAGTTTATTCTGCTTGGTAACATGGAATATGTCTTATGAAAGCCAATAAAATATTTTATACATTTATACAACTATTATGGCTATTCAAAAATTGGGGAACTATTTAAATAGTCTCTAGAGAAGACTGAATTTCGGACTCTCTTTAATTAGTAAACCACCATCAAGAACAAATATACTGACTCTTAAAAAAAAAAGTCTAACCTCAAGTCTTTCCCTACATGTTTTCCATCTTCATATCCCATCTGGTTTGAAGAGACCACTTCTTAGACTGTCTTCCTCCCCCACATTTCTTTGGAACTTGTCTCTGGGAATTGCTCTTAACCAGCTGCCTTACCCCAAAGACCAACCCACAGCCTATAAGCGCTGGTCACATGCCACATGACCTTCTTGGCTCATGTTCTGATGTCTGCTCATGATCTATTTGGTTTTCCTTTGATTTCAGTGGCTTTGATTTAATGATATATTTCACCATATTGAAGGGAATTATTAGCTTAAAAGGTCAATATTTATCTATATTTATTACAAATGCAGTCACTCCAACTGAGACTTCTAATAAGTATGTCTGGCTATCTTTGATGGCCAGAAATATCACTGGAAAACAAGAAAAAATACATCATGCTGAACAACAAATGCCTGCCAATATTTATAGGTTTGAAGGAATTTATGTCTAAATTACAGTGATAACTCTGGAGTAGTATTTCAGTGCATTCTGAGAACTACTCTTAGAAACTCTGTTTTTGTTTTCTTTCCAAGTCTTAGAACCTGATTATACTCCCTCCTGCAAAAAATTCATGTTCATAAATTCAATGACAGATTTGGTTCATTCATATGCCCATCAGATAATGAGCTGATTAAAGTTCTCTAAAATTTTATTAGCTTATTCTGCTTTACCTTTCTAAGCTCTAATCTCAAAGCTGTCACCATGCTTGACAAATAGTTTAAAAGATACAGACAACTCAAACTGCTTTCACAATCAGGCCCCTAAGACCTTAGACATGAAAATGTGGTCCATGTGTCTCTCCAGAAGCTTATCTGGAGATAAGTTTTAAACTAGCTAATACTAGAATTGAGTAATTGATTGAAACTTTTGTTGATATTCTGAAAAAGTCTGTATTTTTGTCATAAAAGTCATAATAATCATAATAACTGTATAAATAAAGGGTCATCTTATGCCATGTAGAAAATGCTTCAAATAGTAACTGAACCCACATCTCCTGAGTTTCTTGTATTGGCAGGTGGATTGTTTACTACTGAGCCACTTAGGAAGATGGTCTAATATTAGGATCTAATATTATTTTGTTTTTGTATCTGTTCATTGTATGCATTTTGCCCAGAATACTATTACCTTTGGGTTTCCCTGGAGGCTCAGCTGGTAAAGAATCCACCTGCAACAAAAGAGACCTGGGTTTGATCCCTGGATTGGGAAGATCTCCTGAAGAAGGGAACAGCTACCCACTCCAGTATTCTGGTCAGGAGAATTCCATGGACTGTACAGTCCATGGAGTCTCAAAGAGTCAGACACAACGGAGTCACTTTCCACGAACACCTTTTATAAAAAATATATAGCCCCAAAATGGAAAATGCCCTGCCTCTAACCTTTTACTTCTGTTATTTCAAAGTAAATGTTGTCAACAATTTTGTGCCTATTTATCTAGAATTATGCATATTCTTATTTAGGCATCTAGAGAGGGTCATAACCTATGTATATTTCTATCTATATCTGTATCCACATATTTCATCTTATCAGACGGAGACACACTACAAATATTGGCCTGCCACTGTCTTTTTCTACACGCACTGTATCATGAGTACCGTTCAGTTAGAGAACATGATCTCACTCCATCTTTTTCATGGCTGCATACCATTCCAAACTACAGATTAAACAATCATTATACACTAAACAATGATTATATATCCTTAACTGATGGAAATTTGTGTTGTGTCCTTTTTGTAAGTAACATACAATACAATGATGGACATATCTGTACATATGTATTTATGCATTTGTTTTATTATTTCTTTTGGTAAAGTTCTAAAATGGCTAGCGGGCAACTTGAAGCTATTATAACATGCATTCAAAATCAAATAGAACAAAAATTCCTACACACTGATTCTAGAGATTTCTTCTCTTGTAACCATACTTTTCCAGAGTAATTTCCAAACCTCAAATTTTGAATTTAATCTGTTTATTACAAAGCACCCCAAATGAGTTGTAGAGTCAAAACAAATACTCCTCCAGACAATGCCATAATACTTTAGAATGATGAAATGCTTAAAATAGAACATTTAAGTTAGAACTTGTAAATGAGATATAATTATGGCTCTCATAATGCAACCATGCTATAGTGACACATCCAAGAGCAAATTCCTTCCTGCATTCTTAGAATTGATATAAGTGTCCAAGTGGTGAGCATATGTTTCTGGAATGTTTAATGTTCCTGTCGGCAGTTGGGCAGGGTCTGTCATATTTTAGGGGAACTATGTCATAGGTCAGTTAATACTTTCTTATGTCATTATTGCATTCCCTCCAACAGATTTGATTGACTATATGGACATTTCTGAAAAAGCAACCTGAGCATTCCAATCATAACAACTTTATGCAATATTGACATTCTAATACAGTTTATGTAAGGAAGGAAGAGTTCGCCAGAAGCACAGAATGCTCTCTGGGCATGTATTAACAGTTTGAGCACATTGATCTTTGCTATAAAGTTTTGACTTCACTTAAACTTACGACACATTACTGATCTAGTTTGTTAGCAAAACCACGTTTACGGTTTATGGAAACCAGATTTCCTCACCAAGAGGGAGCTGGAGTTTTTGCTTCTCATTGTTGATAGCTCCAGTTGTGCAGAACTAAGTTTAGTTTTGTCTTAGGAGAGCTGGAATTATGGACTCATATTCTTTCAAGAAGGGCAAGGTTGCTGCCCTGAAATGTCCAATCTGCAGGGTTTTTTTTTTTTTTTAATGTCAATGGCATGTTAGATTTACAGAAGAAATGGTTCTCGTATTTGCATCAAGATTATAGAGTACTACATTGTGGGAAGAATGCTGGGGAAATCCTAAAGGTATGACAAACTTTAGTTAAGAGTTCTCTAACTAAAGCATGATTCATGTAGTTTGTCTCCAATCCTTGTGGCTCTCACTTGCACACTTCTTAAGGGATCATGGTATCTATAGGATCAGTCAAAGGTGCCTCAGCATAACATTTTATTTCAGTTATTGATCCTTTTGGTCAGAAGTTAACAGAAAGTTCATAGAGCTATGGATAGCAAATATGTCAGGGTATCATTTAAAATAGCATTAGCATATTTTGGAGGAGGGGGTACTGTTGCCTTAGAATATGCAAAGGGCTCATTTAAAATATGTGACTTATACTACTTTTATCATAATAAAATATATTTTCTAAAGGGGAAAGAAAAACAAATTGAAATATATAATTTTAATTTAAAGATAGGATATTCTTTCAGAAAATTAGAGATTGTCCTTCAGATCTATGAGCTATCTGGTGGCTATTTAATTCCAAAGAAAGTGAAATTAGTTCTGTCTTCAACACAATTCCAAAATAAAATGTTCAGGAACCATTATAAATATTATTAGTGAAATAGGTTATCCTGTTTTAATTTTTACATATTTTGATGATTTTTCCAAGATTCTCTTTAAGTCATACAGCTACACTACAGGGCAAAAGAAACATCGATATATCTTTTTAACCCTAGCAAAAATAATAAATGATGGAAACAAGGATATTTACAAAATTCCAAAAGCCAGATAATTGGTGCATGAGTCTTACCTTTCTTTTACGAAGTCTGACTTGGTTATCTGTGGGTTCCTGGGTGGCCAGAGTCTCCTTGAAGTGTAAACACTGCATGCCATCTCCTGAGTTGAACTTTGGAAGACTTTTGTTTTGATGTTCTGAGAAACCACTCATCTCCAGGCCATTTTCAGTTGACATTCCACTAGGGCAGGAAGGAGGCTGCAGAAGGCAGCTTCCAGGATCTGTTTTTAATAATGGCAGTCCTCTGTCCATACGAGGACTAGCCAATAACTTATCTTGTACTGCACTGCAGGTGTTGCTTTCATGTTCATCTTTAGGGAAGTCGGGTTTCCTTCGATGCTGAGCAATCACAGCAGAATTAAGCAATTGCTTTTCTGGCACAGTATCTTTCACATTCAAAGAACTGCAAGCATTCATTTTGGACGGATCTTTTATTTCACTTAAGCTTATCTCCTTACAAAGCTCCAGGCTTTTACTCACCATGTCAACAGCTTTCCTGTCCCCTTTTTCCTCAACCAGCCCTAAATCAATTCCACCAGCCATTCCCCAAGAGTCACAAGAATCTTGATTACTTTCCACAATGGGTAGCGTCTTTACTAAGGAGCCTGCTCCTTTGACGCTATGTTGGTCTGATGTTTCAGGTCCTTGAGTAGTTAGAATCTGTTTACCATCTGTGAGATACAGATCAGAATCGGTGTCCTCATCAGAAACATGCACGAGTGTTTCTGTGCTGGCCTCCAGAGAAAGAAACTGATCTTCACCTTCGTGGCTGTCATCCTCATCTACCTCCTTTGAAATGTGACCCATTGGCCTCCCAGGAATCTCTCTCAGCTCTGAGCCATGACAGCAGTCTGGGAGTGAAACACACCTCTCTTTGCGGTCCACATTTAGAATTGCATCTTTTTCCATACTTGCCTGCAAGCTGTCAGCTACTAGTCCATGATGACATGCTGTGTTACAATCATCAGAACTAAAAGGCTGTCCCATCCATTGGGTCACATGTTCTTCCCAGCTTCTCTTTCTGATAGCTACAGACATGTCATCGTAGTTTAACAACAGACAGAGAGATACATTCTGTATGAGACTAAAGGAGATGAAACTTGATGAAAGATTACTTCAAATTCACTGATTGACGAATAGAGGAAGTTTTGTCATTTCACCACCTATTAAAAAAATAAAATACATACATATAGTTCAGGATATAATTCTAAAGTCAAAATTTATCTTGGAAAAGAGAGTGCTTAAGCAATGCTATAAAAGATTAAATAAGAGGTTTCTATAAAGCTTCCAATCAACAACATTAATAGGGTTATTTCTTCAAGAAGCAGGCTAATATGAGAAGAAAATTTTACATTTAGTATCTCTGGTCAAAAATCATTGACAATACTTTTAAATGTAGCTGGACTGATTGACCTATTAACTGATAGACTGCTACCCAGTAGCACTAGTGGTAAAGAACCTGCCTGTCAATGCAGGAGACAGAAGAGATGTGGGTTTGATCCCTGCGTTGGGAAGATCCCTGGAGGAAGAGATGGCAACACACTCCAGTATTCTTGCCTGGAGAATCCCAAGGACAGGGGAGCCTTGTGGGCTACGGTCCATAGGGATCACAAAGAATCAGACATGACTGAGCAACTGAGCAGGAGCACGAACATGTGTGTGTGTATAACTTAAAATTCCACTAGGAAAATATCTGGACTGCTATACTTAATAATTCACCAGAAGCAACTAGTTGCTCTAGCTTACACGCTTCCCTGGTTAACTTTTGTGGAAACAAATTGCTACAGAAATCTATTGGCTGTTTGGTTTGAATTGCACCGAAGGTCACCAGGAACAGCTCATGCAAAACCTGAGCTACAGGGATAGCACGTGTAATATATTAGCATGTGAAAGAGCTAATACAGACCCCAAATCACCAGGACACATTTACTCCAGGGAGCGACTGTGAAACTCCGGGGTAATCCAGTTTAATTCATATTAACACAGAATTCATGCATAAGAAGGCATACCACACGCCATTTGCAATGCCTTAGGTTCAATGGGCTTCCCAGGTGGTTCAGATGGTAAAGTGTCTGCCTCAGTGAGGGAGACCCGGGTTCGATCCCTGGGTCGGGAAGATCCCCTGGAGAAGGAAATGGAAACCCACTCCAGTACTCTTGCCTGGAAAATTCCATGGATGGAGGAGCCTGGTAGGCTCCAGTCCATGGGGTCGCAAAGAGTCAGACACAACTGAGCGACTTCACTTTCAGGTTAAATATATTTACATACATCCCTTTGCTATTATGACCAGTTTGCAAGCTAGTATTGTTAAAGCTTAGAGAAGTTAAATGACTTGCTAAGGCTACATATCTTGGGAAAAGCCTGGATTCAAAATAGGCGCCAGTTCTAAGACCCAAAGAGGCAACAAACTTCATTGTCTCCATATAATGAGATTCTACAGCCTTCGTTTCCCCCCTAGACATCTTTAATAGGTATAAAATCTAAACTATTCAGGTAAGGATTCAGGTGAATCAAAAGAAGATGTGAGCACAGTAAGACAATTGAAACAGTTCTTTAGGAATTTCAGCCTGATTCTGTTTGGCTTCCAAGGAGTTTAGTTTGTATATTTCTGTTAGAATTTGGCCATAAAAATTTTAAGTAAACAAGAAAACCAGGCATAAGATAAGGTCAGGATGTAAACACATTCCAGATATCCATCCATCCTCTCTGCCTTGAATTATTCAAAGCCTTAGTTAAAGGCAACAAATTACACCAATGTAAACGCAAACGACTGAGCGACTGAACTGAACTGAACTGAACTGAACTGAAACGCAACCTTATAAAAATGACTAATCCAAATGTGTTCCATAATGAAACCTAATGACTGAACTGTAAAAGAAAAATCTCATTCAAGAGCAGACACTTCCAGTTTCTATGCCACATAAGAACGGTCAGCACATAACATGGACTGGCTTATTGATTTCAGTCATAAACAAGATTAACCGCGGTGCTGGTTTCGGGTCACTGCAGTCTATTGAAAAGGAGTCTGACTGCCCACCAAAAATTTCAAGCTATTCTGACTAAGCACATGCCAGAAAGGTAAATATTCTCATCCTGTAAAGACCAGGAATGTACTAGAATTCTGGTACCCCAGACTGACCAAATATCATTCTGGATGCTATTTGGTTTCCTTAGAGGTCTGTGTGTATCTTTTTGAAAATGGCCAGTGTTCACATTTTCCATGTTGGCATTCATTTTGCATTCAAAAGAAAAATATAAAGTCCCTGAATTCCATGCATAAGTCATTATCGTGTGGGAGGCTACGGAAAGTGGAAAAAACGCATAGATGCAGGCCAGAAAATTTCTGCTTTCATGGGCAAATTTGGGTTGTAATAGGGCGGTTCTGTTTTAGATGCTTTCTTTTCTTTATTTTTATCCAGCGTAGAAAGAGCAGGCTAACTTAAGAAATGCCAAGTGGTATTACTGTGTCATTCCTAAGCCACATTTACATTTAAGTTGAGGCTGACTTCTGGTTTTATTTCTTTGGTGAAGAAGGTGAAAGAGTTTTATTAACCCCTTGGGGAACAGATTATATAGAAGTTTTGCCTTTAAGTCCTTACCATATTAGTTAACTTATTGCACTCAACTTTGGCAAGTATTTTTATAATATCAAAGGAAGACAGTTAAACAGTTCTGAGGCAATCTAGATGCAGAGAGAGACTGTAAATTAGACAGATTCATACAGCATTAACTCCTTCTGTCCTAATTTCTTATCTAGGTCCTTTGGACATTTCCAATATCATTCCTGTGAATTTGTAGTGTCTTCGTCTCAAAGACATAAAATTTTCTAACTTTCAATATGACCATCACCACTATAGTGTGGATGTTCATTCCAAATCCTGTGATCTGATAAGATTTCTTTTTTAAATTATCTCAACAAGCTTTCTTATTCACACTTCTTAATTAAATTCTGATTTGTAAGATTTATAGTTAAAAATCTGTCTTCAGGATCTAAAGATCAAAAACAGCATTAATTAAAATATGATTATTATTGTTTGGGCTGCCCAGAGAGTGCTAAGGGTAAAGAATCTGACTGCCAATGCAGGAGATGAAAGGGACACGGGTTCTATTGCTGGGTTGGGAAGATCCACTGGAATAGGAAAATGGCAACCCACTCCAATATTCTTGCCTGAAAAATTCCAATTCCATGGACAGAGGAGCCTGGCAGGCTACAGTCCATGGCGTCACAGAGTCAACAGGACTGAGTGACTGAGAACATTATTGTTCATCACATATGAGCACCCTGGACTCATTTTCTAAGTCTTCTGAATTGACTTGAATTTGTCCTGTAAGATTCAGAGGTCTTTGTAAAAGACCTAAATTTCCCTTTGAGCCTTCTCACCAGGCTGCCTTATTCAAAATTACATTTCTAACTACTGATGACTTACTTTGCAAACTGCTATTACCAGTTTTTAAAATAATCGTTATTATGCGCTTTCATTCAGAATGAGCTCAGCTGCTCAGGGCTTGGATGAGGGATCTGGAAAAGTATAAGTCATTCTAGGGTGTTGATTTTATGAAGTGAATTTCCATGGGGATTTTTCACTTCTTAAATGTATATGTTCAAACACCACTGTATTAATGTAACAAGAAGCCCTATGTACCTCTAATTATGTAATGATTCTGGAAAATATTTGTGAAATGTCCACATTCGCTTTTTGTGATGTTAGGGCATAGGATGTTTGGACACAGAGTGATTTAAAATGTATTATGTGGGCTCATTTTGTAACACTTACCACCCTTTGACATAAGCATTTTGTAGTATACAGTCTGTATTTTAAAATGATCAAAGTTTAACATAGTACTAAAAATCAATGGAAAATATTCTAGTTTGAGAATTCCTGGCTTATTTCTGACATCAAGCTATCATGCTCTCTTTTGCAACTGCTCCTGAAATGAACACACATTTTGTATTTTGACCTGGCAGTGGTCCTCAGGGAAGAAGAACCCAACGGGAATCACTACTGCTGACACTATAGCCTGGGAGAACTCCGTGCAAATTAAGTACTTGTGGCTGAAATCAAGTGGGCAGTACCTTAGAACCGACAGCAACACTGCCTGATCATAGTCATTTATTCAACAAGTGTTCATTTAGGACTGAACAGGCTACAGAAGGCTTCCCAGGTGGCTCAGTGGTAAAGAATCCGCCTACAAATGCAGGAGACGCAAGAGACACGGGTTTGATCCCTGGATTGAGATGATCTCCTGGAGTAGAAAAGGGCAACCCACTCAAGTATTTTTGCCTGGGAAATCCCATGGACAGAGGAACCTGGTGGGCTATAGTCCATGGGGTCACAAAGAGTCAGACACAACTGAGTGACTGAGCGTGCACGTCTGGGCTGCAGACAGTCTGCTAAACATTGGGAACATAAACCTAAATATATATTAACTTGTTTTGTCCTTTCAGAGCACAGATGACATATATAGATATACATACACATATATAAATAAATACACACACACACGCACATGCACATGATGGACTCCTGGGTTGTTTTTAGACACCTTCGCACAGATGCTGCATATTAACAGAAGGGAAAATAAAGGCATGATAGTACTGCTGGTTTCTCTGTATTTTCCTACTTTCTTCTAGATGGCTTGGCTGGAATTACTTCTGGTTTTCCTTTATGTCTTTCTTCTTAATTACTCATCCTGTATTAACTTTCTAGGTCATGTTTTCCTCCTACTACTGTTATAATGTATATGTGCTTATGTTTGTGTGCATGTGTGTGTGTGTAATAGCTACCACATAGTATGTATTCAGTCACTGGAAGAAGGAAGGAATATTATAAGGGAAATAATCTCCTTTTAATCAAAAGTAAGATAAACTCCTTCCCTGATGGCTCAGTGGGTAAAGAATCCACCTGTAATGCAGAACACACAGGAGACCCAGGTTTGATCCCTTGGTCGGGAAGACTCCCCAGGGTAGGAAATGGCAGCCCACTTCTTGCCTGGGAAAACCCATGGTCAGAGAAGCCTGGCGGACTATAGTCCATTGGGATGACAAAGTGTTGGACACAACTGAGCAACTATGCACACATACACAGATTAAATTCCCTAACATGAACTCTTGCAAGAATAGAGAATGCTCCTGAACCAAGAGAAGAATATTTCTATTAATACA